TTTAATCCAAAAAATCAATTAAAGACACTTATGAAGTCAAAGTAGTGTCAATGAAGCTTCTAGAAAGCTTCTATATCAAATACTATAGAATTAACTTACTTTTACCTACTTTTACTTTACTTCTACCTATTTGTATATGTAATTACTGGCTTACATGAGTATGTCCGTAACACTGCCTTTAAATTACATGCATTGACTTCAACTTCTTATAACACTTGCATTCTAGCTTAGAATTTATTAAAAAATATATAAAGAATGTAGGCATAATAGTCTTTTTTCTAATCCAAATCACCAATCCTTCATTACATTTTGTATGTGTGCATTATATCCAAAAGAGTGACAATAGATATAAAATCCAAATCTTAACTTTAAGCACCTATATCTTTTTTATAAAAACTCCAAATTATCCAAAATTTATACCAAAACTATATCCAAAAACCTAAACACTTTTTCTTTTAATCTTTTAAGTTCAAATTGCCTCCAAAATATAATCCTAATTCCTAATAAGGCATCAAGCAGCCTCTTTAAAGCCCATTGGGTATGTCTTTTGGACAAAAGCAATGGAGATTTTCATCATCTATCTCCATTCATCTATATGGATGCCCTAACTACTCTTTTTGCTATCAATATTCTTCTCTAATCTTTTTTTTAATCTTTAATAAGATTTATATCATATATACCTTAAAAACCAAATAAAAGAAATAAAATAAGATTTCAAGAGTTACCAATGTCTTATAAAGGTGGCTCTAAATATATAAAACTATTACCAATATAAAAGCAACTTCAATAATAGTCCTTTTAAACTAACTACTTCAAAGTAGTAATCTATTTATATATTGTAACCAAAAAAAATCTAATAACATGGCTTTCACTATATTGTATAGTAAATTATATATTAGCTATATATGTGCATTATTTTCACATAGTAGCCCAACCACAACACAACAACATATAATATGTGGTTAACTTATTGACTAAGTTTTTAACCTACCAATCAATTACAAAAACATGTAGGGACAAATCAACATTTATGAGGTTTCTAAGAGGCTTTTCTAGAAGATATTATAAAATTAATCTAATTTTATTTACTTCTACTTAATCATATAGATAAATATTAGAGTAAATATGTATGTTTGTGACACTTTGTTATACATATCATACCAAAAAAACTTATGTGACAACTTGTTGATACATGTCGATTTACCATTATTGATTGCGCAACATGAAATGTATCATTTACTCTCCAAAATATCAAAGCTTTTTGTATAGTTGTTGTATCAACAATTCTTTTTGATTTAGATTAGAAATTATGTGCCTAGCTTCACCTAATCACATTTAAAATAGGAGGTTTTTTTTAATAGAACTTTGTTATCTAATGTGTAATATGTTCTTGCTCCATGGAAAAAAAAATTGATAGAAATGCCTTTTGTTAAAGCTTGTATATGATTGAAAGGTCGTTCTATAATTCTTCACAACTAAAATCTTATTAGATTTTTTATTTATTTCTTAATTAGGTAATTTGCATGCAAAACTTGACAATAATATGGAATATATTGTTGCATGCCTACCAAAAATTACCTCTTTGTCACAAACTCTGTATTATCTAGTTCCAATTAAATCTTCTTTTGACAAATTTAGATCATAAAAATCCTATTAGCATCCAAATTAATAATTTTTGTTTAATTTACAATTTCAAAGTCATAATTTTATAGCAATATTAATTATTTGGTAGACTTACCATTTAGCTTGTTTAATTCCATTAGTCACTTCAAAGGTTAATAGTAGATCACTAATATAAATTATTGCTTATATAAATAAGATTAAAAATATGCAATAGCCCAAATTTTATATTTATATGAAAACTTTTGAATAAATAAATATAAATCAAAGTAAAACATTCACAATTGCAATGAGGAAATTTCCTGTTTTTTAATTTGAAAATAATGCTGTTTTTAGATTCACTAGATTTATGAAAGAATGTATAAGATATCAAAGATTATTTCTCAGATAAGAAAAATTCAAAGCAAAGAGTAGAGTACTAACAACATGCTAAAAGGCAACTGGTACCATTGATAATAATTTGGACAAGAGGACTTTTTTTACATCATTTTTTTAAACCAATTGTAGAAGCATAGAAAATACTTAGGATCATGGACATGTTCAAACTGACAATGCTTTTAAGATTATGAACATGTTCAAATTGACATTTTTATTCAAGACAGTTATATGGAAGAAGTAAAAATAATAATGTAAGATGACATCAACAAAATCAGAGAACTGTTCTTGTAAAAGTAAACATATTATAATAGTTTTGTTCATAGACTTGGTAGATGCTTTTATAAGCTCGAAAAATGCAATTGAGATCTGTTCTGTGAATGGTTTTATTACAAATTATAATATTTTAAGGTTGTTGTACAGAAAATAAAACATAATAATAATAATAATAATAACTCTTGAAGAAACAATATAGACTGACTGACACATTAAGCAGGTGAAAAAAACACGCACACACACACACACACACACACATCTATTATTATAAAAATATCTGATAATGGTAATAAATTTGATTACATTAAAAAATTTACAAAGAGACATGAGGCTAAGAGACATGAAATACAAAACTAAAATAATATAAATGATGAGTGCAAAAAAACGGGTATGCATTTATAGCCAGTAAAGGAAGTAGTATATATCATGTGCAAGTGGATTATCAATTTCAAAACTGAATAAAAGATCTGATTTTTCACAAAAATGCATTTCATATAATCAAAACTATTCTCTGCACAATTGCGTTCACAGAAAGAAAATGGCACGGTTGAGGCCATCAGCATGAACTTTTTTAATAAATTAATATTAATTTATGTATCTAAAAATCTAATTTGAAATATATTAATAATAAAATTATATATTAACTATAAATAGTTATATAATTTTATTATTTATATATGACCTACATACTCTGAATTAAAATTAATAAGAAATTCTTTTACTACAAATTTGCAATAATAAATTTAAAATTATTCTATCTTATTAAATATATTTATAGTTTTAATCTATACTTAAAGTTTTAAATTTACATTATAAAATGGATTTTTTTGAAGTCCATCAATATTATATGTTTATATTTATATATATATATATGAAATCCAATGCCAAAAATTTATGAAACTTAGATTTATAAAGTGTATTCATACTACAACTTTTTATAGCTTTTAGAAGGTCATGTTTATATTTTAAGAAGTTGTGTTATCTTAAACATATATTTAAATAAATGTATATTTTATATTTGTAACTATTTAATTATAATTTTAATTACATCCAAAATTTTATTTATGTAATATTATCATAAAAAAAAATTAACATTACATAATAAAATATAGTTAAGTCTTTTTTTTAAATTACTCCATTGTGGCAATGACAAATATTGAATTGCATATTAAATTACATATTTGATGGTTTTAGAATAAATTTTGTAAATAAATGTTCTAAAATTTATAAATAGTAAAATTCAGGAGCACAAAATAATTATTACATTTTTTTTAAGAAAATCAAACTGTATATACATGTGTAAAAAAAGTTTACAAAAATATTAAAAGATGCATCCGAATAAAAGAATTTTAAATTTTGAAAAATATATATTGGAATACAATTGTAGACACATCTTTGATTTTTTTTATTATTACAGTACTACATGTGGTACAAATTTACGATTACAATAAATACACATATGTATAAGATACAAGATATAAGTTTAATTTGTGCAATTAGAAGAAAACAGTACCTATTCAAACTTAAAGAGGACATTGAATGCAAGTATATTCATACAAGAAGATTTTGAATACAAATTTGAAAGATAGTACTCACAATCAAATATTCAAAATAAAATCTATGTATTTTTTATGAATAAAGATTAGTTTGTAGAACAACAAAAGATAACTTACAATTGCATGTTTCAATATACAAGCAGAGTACAACACCACAAATCAACAAGTTGAGGTCATTTGACTCAGGCTAGAATTGTGCAAATGGATTCATAGCTCATCATTGGATGCAACATTATCTCCCAACCCCCAATTATTTGCAAGTAATAACATTTTCAATTCTGGCATCAGAGGAATTGTTCAACTATTCTGGTTCACTTTGTTGCGGTCAATATGCTCATACTCTCTTTCTAGTTAGCAGCACACACAAAGGTGCCGCATGATTCAGAAGCTTGAGAGTATAACCTGCAATTCATTAGTGATTACTTTGTCAAGTTTGCATCTCAATATTAGTTACGAACATGTTGATGATATTTTGCAGGGGAAATGATACAGTCTGCCATTTATAAACTCCATATTTGTATCAACCTCTTCATGAAATTCGAGATCATAGGCCTAAGCAGATAGTTTTCACATGATTGTGAGCATTCATCGTGTTGCACACCACAGTAAGTACCATAGGCTCTGCTTCTGTGTTGTGTGGCACCATTCTTCGCATCAGTGCAGTGATTGTGTGTGCACCGGATGTAGTCACCAACCTCGATTCCGGCAGAATCACAAAGCTTGCTCCAAGCACAGGCTCTATGCGGTACCATAGCGGTCGGAGGGTGTTTCGTGCATTCTTTCGTGCTTTAGTTTATCACTTCAAATCTTCAGTTCCAAAACGTAAGTAGTACCCATACCCTGAGTTCATTTCCTTCATTTGTTACATGAGAGTTGTAAACTGGCACTTTGTAGATGAACAAAATAACTAAGAAATCTCTGCTACACCATCTTACTCTTCGCTTCGGTAGTAACTCTGGTGACACGTTCTTCGCAAAGAAATAGGTTTTCTGTAAGAGTTGTCCTCATAGTATATTGATTGTGAAGTAAGTAGAGGTAGTTTAATTCACTAGGGAGGTGGAGACCAATGTTTTGCACCCTCCACAAATGGGAAACAGAGTCTGAAACATTATGAGACTCAATCAAGACTCTGTTATAAGTTGTCTAGTTAGAAGCCGCATGGTACACAACAAAGGCTCCTCCAAAACCACATATATTATTAAATGAAATTTCAAGTGGATCATCAGAGAATATGTCATTAATACAATATCAAAAATTGTGTAAATTACTACCTATTACCTAGATCTAGTCATTAACGCATGCGCATGGATCACCTGACCTCTATAACTAGAGCCTTTCAGCAGCCACGGATATTTGAAGCAGTAATTCAAACTCCTTCATCATGCTCCTAGACATAATCTGTTTCTGCAGGCCGGTGTTGCTAGAAAAAGAGCCAAAAGTACAGGCTTTGAGTTAACTTGCACTGTCATTTATCTATTTCAGTGTTGAACCCTAATTGAGTCCAAAATATACCAATTAATTGGTATTTGCTACCACCAATCGATTAGCTACAGTGCAGCTTATCCACCCGCACACGCAATAACTATTAAACTGGAATTGCATACACCTATGTTACGATCAGTTTAGAGACAACGAAAATTACGAAACCGGGTTGCGAGCATCACCAGGTGTTGATGACTGACGTTCATTTCCCCCGCTTTGCAAAACCCTGCTCATCCACTCCTGCTCTGGAATGGAGCCAGCCCACTCAGGTCGAAAGTTTAATGTGATACTCCGCATGGCATTTCTGATTGTTTGACATTGCTCAGCAGGCAGAGGAGCCGCCCTTCGAGCTCGATCAGCTTCCTCGGCTTCGCGGATAGCTCTCTCAGCTTCAAATCTCTGTCTTGCTTCCTCTTCTTCCTCCTCTGAATCTACACCATCTAAGTCTAACACAGGGGCACCACTACTCGCATTCAGGTTTAGAAACTCGAGGCCTTGAATGTTGCCGTACACAGTTACTTCAACTCCATTGATGTTTACCACTGTCCCTTGAGATCTCGGTCTCGCTGTTTCCAAAGTTCCATTGCTTCCAGGGTTGTGTTCAGGTTGTTCATTAGAGACTGCATTCGCTGCAGAAACGTACCCAATACCATCGTCATGTGGACCGGTTGGGGCCTCAGACAGATGTACGTAGCCATGGCCATTTGCATAGCCGTTGGCTGTCACCTCATCCTCCTCTAAATCTGTGGCGTCAGATGCACAACCCCAATCAAGATGAAAAGAAATTAAGCAAAAACAACCACAAATGTGCAAAAGAACAGATAAAATGGAATACACAATTGGTGTAAATTACCACACTCTCACTCGATCCAAAATCATAGGGATATGGACGAAGCTATTTCAGCCCCTGATCCTCAAAAGTGACACATATCCTAACAAAATCAAAACAAGTAAATGAACGATGAACAATATCTAGCACTCGCCAGATGCGAAAAAAAACTCAAAACTCAAAACCAATCAGAAACATTCCCGACGACGACGTCTTCGGTCCTCACATGCATATCCAGAAAAAGACAACCCGGCCTGAATAGAGAGAGAAAAACGAAACATTGCGGCATCAGAGTGGTGAACCCAAGTCCGTGGTGCAAGAGAACCTCAAACCTCACCCATCAAACCACATTGGCCTAAACAAAAACGATCAAAAACCACCAAAATCCAAGCCTCTCATGAAATCCAGAGACACCCAAATGAGAAACCCAAAAGATCTATCACACACCTTCGTCAAACTCCACAAGGCAAAGTGACGACCTCAAATGTGATGTTCAGAAACAGACCTGCAGAAGGAGGAGCCATAGCTATGGGCGAACAATCCTGTCTTCCAACACAAACACGAGGAACACGACGCAAAACAAGACTCAAGTGGCACTCTACAAAGCTTCCTTACACTTTACGTTGCGAGCTTTGCGATGAGCTGCTCGTAGAGCAACAGGCTCCGAAAGCAAAACCCTAATCTCGCTTGTTCTCAAAACCACCGGTTATGAGCAATGTGTGAAATAACAGTGAGTATTGATTATTTTCATAACTCTGTTTTCATTGATTTAGCAAAACTCAAACCATGTTCTTTTTATCTTTCTTGCTTTTGAAACAAATTGGATCGTGGGTTTTCTTTTTCTTTCCGCTGAAGGGTGGATGAATTCAACCTGTCAAATTATGCCATCGAATTTCATAGAATTGTGCTGCAATGAATACATTTCCTAGTTCATCATGAAACTACAATTATTGAAATTAAAAAAGTGAAAAAGTGTTATTTCAGTCATAAATTTGATGACATGGCAAATAAATTTACTGTGATACTGTCTCTTTTTTCTTAAAAGTAGGTAACATAAACTAATAGTTGTAGATTCTGTACTTTAAATTTCAAAGGTAAAAATTGTTTTGTGATTTGTAAGATAAAATATAATACTCTAGATATACAATTAATAGAATTGGATATACAAATTTACATAATAAAATATAATTATACTAAATATACAAATGTACAAAATTTGAGCTGATTTATATAAAATGATCTCTTTTTTCCAAGGTAATCAAAATGTCCATATTTTCTTTTAATCAGCAATAGATGTTTCATTTCTTTATGTATGGTGCATTGTTTGCATTTGTAGTAATAGTTACATCTATATGGCATTAGAATATAAGGAAATTGTTTTCATGATGCTTGATTACTATTGTCTCATCTTATTCTGTATGTGTGATTCATCTCAAGTAGGTTATATATCACAGTATCACAAGTCTCTCTCAAGATCCGACAAGTTCACACCTCATTGCCTCATGAACTTTAATATAGAGCTCTCGGAGTTGGGAGATGCATAGAAATCAAAAACTAGAAGTAAGTAGATGAATATATATATATGTGAAAATAATACACATAAATATTTGATGTATAATTTATTATACAATGTGATAAGAGCCACATTATCAGATTTTAGTTGGTCACAAAATATGGTTAGATTACTACTTTGAAGTGGTTGTTTAAAAGGACTATTATTGAGGTTGGTTTTATATTGATAATAGTTTTATATATTTAGAGCCATTTTTATAAAACATTGGTGACTCTTGAAATCATATTTTGTTTCTTTTATTTGGAGTTTAAAACATATATTACATAAATCTTATAAGAAAAAGTATTGGAGAGAGGTTTTGGTAGCGAAAAGAGTAGTTAAGGCATCCTATTGGATGAATGGAGATAGATGATGAAAATCTCCATTGCTATTGGCCAAAAGGCATATCCAATGGACTTTGTTGAGAGCATTAAATGTAACTAGTGCTCTCCATGCTATTTACTATAATCTACAATATTTATTGTAGCTACAGTGTTTGGAATGTAGTAGGAAGACACTCTTTATCTTCTTCCCTTCTCTTTGTATAAAGGATCTAACCCTATCAATAAACTTATTTCATGTATTTGTGTGTGTTTACATATGTATGCATATTACTTCTAGCTACTATTATCTCTCTTTTTCTAAAATATTCTCAACACGTTATTAGCACGATTTCTTTTATACTCTAGTCTTAGTTCTTAGTTCTTAAAAACTTATGTTCATTTTTTCTTTCTTTTTCTCATAATTTTTTTTTTTCCTTCTTGTGCTACTACTGCTATTGTTTTTATTGCTACTGTTATTGCTATTGTGTTGCTGCTGTTGTTTTTGATGCTGTTACTGCCAGTAACTATCATTGACTATTGCCGACTGTTGTCGGTCAATGTTATTTGTTGCTAACTATCGCTGACTACCGCAAATCAATATTGTTTGCCGTTGACTGTCAACTACCGCCATTGACATTGTTTTCCATTGATTGTCATTGACTCTCGTTGACTGCCATTGACTATCACTAACTACTACTGACTGCCACTGTCGTATTGCGTAGTTTTCTAGCTGGGAATACACTGGATACTTAGTTGTAGAAAGTTTAGTTTTAACTTATTGGCCAAGCTCTAATTAGTTATTTAATCTTAAAAATAGAAGATAAATAAATACTACAATATCAAAAAGATATTGTATTAATAAATCCTTCTATATTTAAGAAGGTTTGTATATAAAGCTTTCTAAAATGTCTAGAAATTTTCTAACATTCTTGGCTATACCAAATCATAGCTAACCATTTGCTAGTAGATTAGGTTTTCAATAACTTCAAAGGAAATCCACAATCTCCTCTCAAAAACTCATCTTTATACAAAAATTCAATCATAGCTCCATATATCCATCTTCAACATATATATAAAGTCTTGGCTTCCAAAATACTTCTTTATTTTATATAAAATGCTCAAGTTATAACAAAATCCCTTCAAAATATAATATTTCCGCAAAAGATTTCTTCTTTTCGAATTTTAGAAATTCATATTTCTTGATCTAATCGTTTAGATTTTTCCAACTTCACAAATATTATAGAATTTATTCTTAAGCTTTACCTTACAAAAATTCAATTACAAATTCATTACCGAACATCTGGCATCTTAAAAATCCTAGCAAGTGCTCTTAAACCCTAATTTACAAGCACCTAAGTACTATTTTCTTCATATCTCACAAATCTAAAATCCAAATGCCACAAAACTTATATTTAAAGTTTGATTACATGAAATTACACATTCTTGGAAATTTTTAGGCAAAATCTTGTTTAATTGCATAAGATAAAGTTCAAAATACAACCACTAGCAATTCCAGTCACTTACTACTCTTAGATTTGCAAATTTTGACTTCAACCTCCAATATCTCCTTCACTTAAACTTGAAATCCATCAAACAATATTCCAAAAGTATAGATGAAAAGTGCTCTCTTTAATCCTAATCATCGATTCTTTGTTGCTTTTTGTATACATGCATTATATCCAAACGAGTGATAGTAGGTACAAAATCAACATCCTAACTTTGAGCGTCCATATGTCTTTTATATAAATTCCAAATCAAACAAAATTTATACCAAAACCATAGCCAAAAACCTAAACTTGGTGATCCTAGCCTCCAAAGTTTGAATGCCTCTAAATCTCCAAATTTTCCAAATTTAAATGCTTTCAACAATGAAATATATTGTATTGTCTCACAACTACAATTATGTCGATAAAGCATCTCTAAAGAAGAAATGATTGAAAAAACTCTCTCTACATTTCCTCCTACATCTATTGCGTTTACACAATAATATACAAATATGAAATTTTAGAGACAACCTGATCTCATATCCTATCTATTTGTTGCGGAGAAACTAAACAAGCTACTCTTACGTAATACAGAAACTCGTCCTATTGTAATGCAATGTTTATATTATTTCAAAAGATAATTTTATATATAATTGGACATAATTTAAGACGTATAAATGCAAATTCTTTGAAATTATATCGTGCATGTGTGTAAGGCAAGATAATTGTTCGGCCATGAATTTGAAAACTCCTACAAGAATTACCACCAATGCTTGAAAGGTCGCATGGTGATATTTGTAATCCTATTAATCCAATATCTTGACCATTTCATTATTTTTTGGTCTTTGTTGATGCGTCAAGCAAAAAATCACATATTTTATTATTATCATCTTGAAACATAGTATTTGCTAATCTTATATCTATGCTTATTTATTTTCAAGCACATTTTTCTAATTATCCTATCAAATCATTACATATGGATAATGTAAAAGAATTTGCATCAAAATCCTTTGAAAACTATTATACTGCAACAGGGATTGAATTGACATATTGTGTTCTATATGAATATGCTCAAAATGAACTTGCAAGGTCATTTATAAAGCATATACAACTCATTATCTCGCCACTCTTTCTTCATGCAAATTTACTTGTATCTATGTGCAGTCATAGAGTTTTGCATGTTGCAACATTAATATGCCTCTATCCTTCTTCTCTTGAAATTATTACACCACAAGAGCTTATTTCAAGTCGTGGTCCAAATATATCTCACCTATAGATATTTGGTTTTCATACTTGATTTCTAATACAAGAATCTCAATGGCATACCATTTGAGCTCATCAACGAGAAGGCACATATGCTGGTTTTGATTCACTAAGTATTATTTATATAGTTGATCCATCAACTAGCACATTATTACATGCACATTTTTAAAATTGTTGTTTTGAAGAGAACATATTTCCATCTCTTCAAAGAGGAATATTTAATCAAAAAAAAAAATATAGTACTTGCATTTGGAGCACTAGAAACATTTACAATGAATCTAAATCCTAGAACATCTTTGGTTGAAAGTGAAGTTGCCAAGATTTTGTATCTAAAATGGATTGTAAATGAAACATATGATGGCTTCAATGATGAATCTATAATTATAAAGATTCCAATTAATGAGGCTCAAAATAAACCTGCTTAAATTGTAATACCACTAACAAATATACATTAAGTTAAAACATTAGCAATTAAAAGGACTGATAGACTGGATAAGCAACCACAAAAGAAGAAAGCTATAATATGTAGTGATTTTGGTATTGTTTTTGTGGAAGTTTCTACTAAACCTATAGAACCATAAATTAATGAAAATATGTCTATGCACATTATACGTTCTTTTCATGTTGTAGAAAATTTTGAAATTATGATGAATAAAACCAAGTTGAGTACAAAATTATCTATTCTATATTGTGCTAGAAATGACCTTTCGGATAGACCATCTATTATAATAGATGAATAATTTACATTTATGATGGCAAAAGATTTTTCTTACAAGAAAGAAGATCTTGAACCTCAAACCATTCAAGAAGCAATACATCGCTCTGAGTGGTTAAAATAGAAAACTACCATCGAAGAGGAGTATGTTTCTTTGCATAAGAAAAAAGTCTTTGGTCCAATTATAGATACTCTTATTTCTCTCCTTGTGGGATATAAGATGGTATTAATATGTAAGCGAGATACTAAAGGTTAAATAATCCACTATAAAGCTCGTCTTGTTGTTCAAGGATTTATCCAATGATTTGGCATTGAACATGAATCTACATATTTTCTAGTCATGGATTCAATTATATTTCGATATATTATTGGAATGACAATTCATGCCACCCTTAAA